AAAAAAAAAAAAAAAAAAAGAAAGAAAAAGTGATAAACTTCTTGAAGTTTTATTAGCTACAAAGTAGAGATGGACATACCTGTATCTCCAACTGATTCGATTCTGAAAAACAAAAGAAATAATGCAAAAGTGTTGGAGAAAGTAGGTGAAGTATTATTATGGATAACTATTATTTTATCACAACTATTTTGTTTTTCAGAGTTTTATGGGCTCAATTTGAAAATGTTCATTTGGTATTTGTCACTCTGAATTTTCACTTTTCTCTGATTTCTGGTAAAGTACAGAAAGGTAGAATCCAACAACATTATGTCTTCGGGAGCAGAGTTTTATATGTTAATTTGTAATAGGGAGGCTATATTGCTGGGTGACTTTAAAATACACATTACATGTAACAGATTTCAAATGACTTTTCTGTGTAGGAATTCATCTAAAAATATTTAGCTAAATTGTTTGTTCTAATCATTTTAGTTGGCTTGAAAGAAAGAACCATTAAAGAAAAAGTAAAACAAATCATTCATTTAACAAATTATTCAACTGACTGTCTTAGTTTTTCCTAATAACTTAGGTCTGTGTTTACATAGATAACAGAATGGTAATATTTGCAAATGGACTTATGCTAGCATTAAATGGGTGAAGACTGAATAATGCGGGACTCTGCTTCTCTCTTGGGGTGTATCGAGGACATTCTGTGTATTCCCTGTTCATAGTTTATGCACAGCAAACAGCATTTTAAATGCAAGGCATACAGTTCTCACAAGTTAAATGTGTAAAAGCTCTATAGAATGTTTAAAGGCAGTACAATTACAAAGGAAGTGTGACAATTTTACATACTTGGGGTGTTTATTGTTACTGTTTTTTCTTTGCAGGATGAGTAAGAGATACTTACAGAAAGCAACAAAAGGAAAACTGCTAATAATAATATTTATTGTAACCTTGTGGGGAAGAGTTGTATCCAGTGCAAACCATCATAAAGGTAAGTTCTATTTTATCTGTCCCATCAGTGGAAGATGACTCCCCTTAACACAGGCTGTCACATTCTATCTTCACTGGTCTGATAAGTTTTATTAGGTATGGGTCCCTACTGGCAATTTTCTTCGAGTGCAAATGCAGAGTTAACCTTACGATGACTTTGATGGCATACATGATATTTCAGGATTACTGCCATTTCTGCAAATATTATTCAGAATATAAATTTTAACACTGCCTTCCCTTCCCCCTTTAAAATGGCGATGTTATAATGTTGAGTTGAAATGCAAAAGGATAAGCTCCAGATTGCCATCTTCCTCATAATAAAAGCATCTTTAATAATGTATATTTTCATGATAGGTAGAGAATATATGTCAATTTTCTTTCTATGCCTTTTCTGGGTCAGGTCGATGCCAGAGTTCTTTGACAACGATTTGGACATCACCCATGGCACGATGTTGGGCAGGTTCAATTTTGGCATAGAATATAATAGAGTCTATATGCATGTTTTAAGCTTGACAGCTCAAAAAATTGTGCCCTTTCTGCCCATTTCCTGGTCACTAGACTCAGTATAACAAATGAATAACTGCCTTTTCTGAATAAATTAAAATGAGGCTATTTCTAAACTGTACATACCACAATCAAGTATTCATAACCTGAGAAGTCAATTTAGATTTTTCTGTGAAATATGGTTTTACAATTCAATTTTCAGCCCACTATAAAGTCTAGAGAACAGCGACTTACTTTCATATTCCATTTTTGAGTGAAGGGGGAATTAAGACTGCTTTGAATTCTATAGCACTTAAATTAGTTACACATGTGCATTTAATTAGCATTACATGAAACCTTAACACTAGGGGGAGGAAAGCTGGGATGTGAGGGAATGATGCTCACAAAGTGAATCTCTTTCCCTTGTATTTAAAACCAGAAAGAGACATCTTGTGAAACAGAATTTTGTGAGGAGCTCCTTCATGTTTTATAATTGTTTTTGACCCATACCGCATATGTTTTCCTTAATACAGCACATCTAGCTACAATAGTTTTACCTGTAAAATTGAAAAGAAATGTTGAGAAGGAAATTCCCTGTAACCCCAAATTAGCAACAGTGAACCCAACCAAAGACAAAGTAGTGTTAAACAATCACCTCGAGGAGGGGTGGACTGCTGGAGCCAGTCCCTGCCTTTGGCTTCCCAAGAGAAATACCCCATCCTGTTGAGTCACCCTAGGGCCTCTTCCCAATCTGTAAAAGAAACCTTGAGAGAAGTAAGGAGCGGGGTGTGTCCATGAAAATTGTGATTAATCGGCCAGCCACAGCATATCGTAGAGGATTTCTCCTCTCCAAAGCCAAATGAGAGGTCTAAGAAAATTACTTATAATACTTCCTCTAGTATATATTACATAGCATTATTAAAGCTTCTTTTAACTTACGTTACATTGTGTGCTAGCTCCAAAAGTAGTATATTATCTTAGTAATTGGTAAGAAAGTACTTTTTGAACATAAGCAATTACAAATTGTCTCAGGAAACTTAAATTGCCAAATTCAGTAAATTTTACAAAACAGTTTTGGGTTGTTTTGCTGTTCCATTTCTACTGTGCTGCTGATATTTTGGATGAAGATTTTATGAAAGATTTTTCTATCATTCTATTTCCTCCTTTTTCTCTCTCTTCCCCCCCTTTTATATTTTTCATGTAAAATGCCCTTTCTATTTAGATGTATTTTACATATAAAAAAGTCATGTAGAGGTACAAGATCCCAACAATGAGTGTAACTGAACTGTATCCCTAAAATGTACCAATAAACTCATTTAAAACTGAAAAAAAAAGAAATCACTTACACTAGTGCTGTTTTCAAAGAATTATCCAGTCTGCAATGTATTAAAGATGTGAAAATGAAGAAAAATATAGTCAGATATATTCACTAAATGCATCCCAGTGTGCTCGCCACTCAGACAAAAAGTATAGCAATTCTAATACTCTTAAAACTGGCTGTCTGCCCTCTGATTTTATTCTTTCACTTCCTTTCCCAGGATACTCATTATTCTATCTATTGAAATTATAACTCTCTTGCCTTTATTGATAATTTCACTATATAAATGTGGATAAACATCTTGAAATGGCATTTTGTTTACTTTTGGTTGTTCTTAAGTTTATTATTTACTGTATTTTTCTTTAATTTGCTATTTTGGCAACCATATGTTTACAAGATTCATTATAGTTTATGTATAGCATGTGATGATCATATATTAATTTTTAGAGTTAATCCATATTTTATTACTTGAACTCACGACAAATTTAATATTTATTCTCTTGTACATGGACATGTGATTCTATTTTTTTGCTATTTTGAACAATGATTATGTACTTTTTCTTTTACTTCCTTTTTACTGCATATGTATAAGGTTTGCTTGAGCAAGACCGCTGGGTAGCAGTGCACGTATATCTTTAGTTTTACCACCTAATACCAAATGTTTCCCCTATGTGGCAGCTCTGTTAAGTGTGCAAGGTATTTTCTTTAAGTGTTCTCAACCCCTGATTTCTGTAGTTATACCTCCTCTTTCAGTCTGAGTATTGCGTACTTTTGCAATATCTCTTCTTGTTTTGACCAGGGGTTGATCAATTTTATTTTCCTGAGGACCTACTTTGCAGTTTTCAGAGGACCTACTTTTGCTTTTGTTGATCCTTTCATTTATATCTTTTAGAATTTAATTTTCTTTTCTCTCATCTCTATAATTTCATTAATTTAATTGCATTTTAATTTATGCAACAAATACCTAAATATGTTTAATACCAGGCACTTATGGAATTTAAACTTTCCTGCTTCTGTAAAAAGCCCTCCCATGCTGAGCATTCACTTAGCATAATGTCAGATGCAGAGTCATGTCTTCAGTTCTTTGCTTTGGTTCAAAAGAGATAATGAAATTCCTCTTATCTCCCCAAGAGACCTAAATGATTACTGATACATAAGGCCCCTAGATTAAGCTCCTAAGGTGCCAGAAAGATTGGGATGCTTCGGTATCTCCTTAGATACAAAGCCAAGACCTTGGTGAAACCTGAGCTGTATCTGGCCCTTGGAAAGACACATTTCCATTCTAAATGGTTCGAGTGAGAACCTAAGATCTGTAGTCTCAAGGAAACACAAGACTTATTTTGTCTTTTCAAGATGGTGGGAAAATGACTTTCTCTTTTGTAAATAAATGGAAACATCTGTTGTCCTCTGTCATTCATTTGTAGACTGGTTATGTGGGTCATTTGGTGGGATTCTATCTGGGCTAAGGGTTAGGGCAAGGCAGACTAATTTACTTACTATTTATTGAGAGGTAGTTAATAATAAACAGGAAATCCATAATACCTTGGTGTTTATTTGAGAAAAAGTAATAAAGATGAAAATTAGAAACCTAATAGCACTAAAGACATCGAATATATCAACTCAAAACTCCTATGATATAGGTATGATTTTATAATCACTTTTACAGATCAGAAACAAAGACAAAGAAAAGTCAAATAATTCATTGCAAGTTACTTATCTACTAAATGTTGCAGACAGGATTCAAATGTAGGCCATCCTGCTCCATGTGACCTCGATAAACACCTATTAGTGGATTGCTTTACTTTTATATTATTTAGCATTCAGTTAAATTCCCGAGTCTACGGCCTGATGTTTCTTATGAACTTTGAAAAAATTTTAGGCATCATTTTTTGAAACATACTCCTGAAACAGACAATTACTGTCTCTACAAATCTGAAACTCTGGCTAGGTGTTATGTGTATGTCAGCCTTTTCATTTCGCTTTTCTGGGAAAATGTCTAAAGGGGAAACTGCTGGGTCAAATGGAATTTCTAGTTTTGGTGTGGTTATACGAGTCTATGTTTGTGTATTTCCAAGTTTCAAGTCTTCCTGTGCTGTACTTTGGACTATTCAGTTAGATTCATTTTTCTAAACTAAACTAATTCTGTGTTCCTTATGTTTAATTTGTGGTTTTATATTTATCCTTGGTAAAAGTATTCTATTGCTGGGAACAGGTACTCCTAGAACCATAGAATCTTAGTCATCTTCTGGGAATATTTTAGATTGAATATTTCTAATGTAAATAATGTTTATTTCCTCAATAATATTTGAGTGCCTACAATCAACTTGAGAATATTTGACAGAATATTTTTCTTCCTGTGGGTTTTATCTGAGAAGTGGAAAATAATAAAAATAAATAAAGTGATATGTTTTATGGCACAATACTCCAGAAAACATAAAGAAAGTGGTACAGCAGGAGAGATTATACTTTTAAATAAGCCAGTAAAGTTTCAAGCTATGAGAATGTTAAGGGCAAGGATGTTTTAGGCAGAATAGTAATAACTATGAATGCTTTCAAACATGCCTGGAACTGGAGAAATTACCAAGAGGATGACATGCATAGAGCAGAGTGTGTAAGAAGAGAGTAGTGGATAGTCATCATACAATAGGTAAATATGGAAGATGAAAGAACTGAGAGACTATATAACTAACAAAACACCAGTACAGTGATATCCTGCTCTCCAGAGCACCAATTGGAGAATTATGCCTTTTCCTAACATGATGTAGGAACACTGTAGAAACCCTTTGCTTTTGGAATTGAAACACCAGTTATCTAAAAAAACAGAAAGTGTCATCTTCTTAATAAAATCTTCTGTGCTTTGGGAAGTTACAGTTCCTCACACAGAGACAAATCAGTTTACTGTTCATACTGCTTCAGAAAGATTCTGCCCTGAATTCTTACAATTATATTGAGCTGAGGTTTATGGGAGGGATTAACTCAGAACATTGTGACAACCAGTCAGAAAGTATAAGCAGTATTTCCCCCTTGGAAGCAATTACATTAGGTACAGCTTCAGATATTGGGGATCAGAGAGAAAACATTTTAGTTTAGGACTTCATGTTCCCAATAGAAAAAATACAGTCATCAATCTTAGAAAACTAATATGCTTTCTTGTCTTTTCTTTTCCTACCCATCACATCTAAATTAAATCTAAAGAGAAT